CTTGCAACTGGCAACGTCGTACTCGGCCTGTACTGCATGTATCATCGCGTGTTGTTATGATTACTAATACATGTAACTGTAACTTTATGTGATTTACGGATGTTGGTCTTTTTCTTTTTTCGTGCATCGCATCGTTTCAAATAAGTGACTGATAATAGTGGGAATTGGTGGTATATATCAGCACGTACCGGTAAGTTTTGTCATTTTTTTTAAGTAAATGTACTGTACTGAAAGAGTTATTAAATAAAAAATATTATCCACAAAAAATTGCGTGTATTCAATAATTCAAGGCATATTTTCAACAAAAATATCATACAAACGTAAACAATTCGATGAATCAGTTGCGGTAGTCGTGTGCTCGTATCGCGGTTGCGTAGCAGCGTTGCCAAGCGTTTTAGAACATTTAATTATTTACGACTCATTTTCCTAGAAAACGATTGATTTTCGGACATAAGTCATAATGAAGTTTTTTGCTTAGAATAATGCAAGGAATAACCTGATAAAGTAACGAATATTATTTCCCTAACACCCCGTTTATCCAAATTTAAAATACATCCAAATTCCGAAGAGTGCCTTGGTTTTTGAAAATTGCTTGTTTACAACAATCTGACAACCAGGCTGGATACTGCGATATGCTTGACATCTCGACACCGGTAAGTGGGTGGAGCGAGTGGAGGCGTGATCGAATAGATTTCCTATTTCCACATTATCTTTTTTATTTTTTGAAATTTTTTCACATCTCGACGGGATATCATTGTTTATATGATATGAGCCATTCAAGACGTGACAGAAGAAGTCTGGTAGAAAAGTTATAAAGAACCATTATCTAAAAAATTTCCGATCCTTCGTTTGACCTGCCAGGATGTTCAACAGCGCCGCATTTGATCGCACAGGGCGAGAATTAAATCTGTCAAAATCCCAGGCCGAACTTTTAGCGTCAAGATTAAAAGGATGGAATCTTCTCGATGGTGATGTTAACATTACTTTTTACCGAAAAGGGCAACAAGACCTTACACAGTGTTTCCGTCAACAATTTGTTTCACGCGTTAGGACAGAAACATGATCCAAATGATTGGCGCCTGTTCATTGATTCCTCTAAGCTTAGTTTAAAAGCGATATTGGTACACAACGGTAATAAATATCCATCTGTACCTATATCTGTACCTATAGCACCCGCAGTTCATATGACGGAGTCATATGAAAATATGGGAGTTCTGTTAGAGCATATCCGTTATAATGAATATGGATGGGTCATATACGTACAGATTTAAAGGTAATAGCCCTTCTTCTAGGAATGCAACTAGGATATACCAAATATTGTTGTTTTCTTTGTGAATGAGACAGTCGTGCGCGAGATCGTCATTATGAAAAGAAGGAGTGGCTACTACGTCAGGTATTAAGTCCGGGCCTCAAAAACATTGCTCATGAACCACTAGTTGATCCCAAAAACGTGTTGCTTCTTTTTTGCATATTAAGTTGGTACTGATGAAAAATTTTGTGAAAGCTATGGATCGAAATAGAAGAGAGTTTATGCATTTAAAACAAACATAGTGAGGCAAAAATTAAAAAGGGCATATTTTTGGGTCCACAAATACGGAGAATCATGAAAGATGATGTATTTGACAGTGCTCTAAATGAAACTGAATTACGAGCTTGGAATGCTTTACTGCAAATTTTTTAGGCAATGTGGAAGCGAACAATTATAAAGATATTGTGAGTGAAATAATTAATGCTTATAAAGGAATGGGATGTAACATGTCTCTAAAAATTCACTTTTTGGATTCTCATATCGATTTTTTTCCGGAAAATTTAGGTGCCGTAAGTGATGAACATGGTGAACGGTTCCACCTAGACATTTCAGCTATGGAAAAACGGTGTCAATTTGGTTGCTGATTATTTCTGAACATTATTAAAGATACTTCAGGAGCAACATATCGTCGTAAAACATCGTCAACAACATTCTGAGATTAATGTTTATTCGAGTGTTTATTAGTACTCTTACACACATATCCTTATATTTTATGAGTATAAGCAGCAAATAAAATGCCTTACTGAAAGAAAACCGTGGGTGATAGAAAAAATCGAATGCTATGCCCGGCTTTTTGGGTATGTCACAACAAATTATTTTAATTTTGTTCACCAGTGTAATCTACTTGATTCTGGCAGATTTATCAACGTGGCTTAAAAAAAACGCGTTTTACCGATACAGATGCATTCAATAGTGTGATGTATTATTGGAAAGTCGTTTTTTATTTAAGGATGGCGGTTTGAAGCTTTCAAACTAGAATCCTTTTCAGCAAAAGTCTGGGACATTATCACATCAGCCCTGGTTTTCGGTGATTGATCAGCACAGCCTCTCTATTATTAAAATATTATCGTACTTTAGACACTTCCCTTACTCTCAAAAACTATTTAACATAACGATTGAAATCACGAATAATTTATTTAGGTATTTAGGTTAATAAATATGGATAATTATTTATATTTTCAATGAATTTTAATTTGGGATATTTTGAACAGAAAAGTCGATTCAGAACTTTTTTTCTCTAAAGTTGATAGCTTTTGAGATATAAGCGATACAATATTTGAAAAGTACGCAATATTCGACCTCGAAAGACAATATGAAAAAACGAAAATTTTAATTTTTTTTTTTTTTTTTTTATACTCCAACTACCACGAAGGCCTAAGGCCTAAACACCCATTGGGTACCGTGGGGCTATAGGGGGATACAGGGGAAAGGGGGAACGCCACACGGACTCTGGCGAGGGAACACGTGTGCATGCAACATACACACATTCTGGCTCCGCCTACGAGATCCACCGGGTGATACCTCCACGTTCGACAGTCAGAGACCGTCTGCCACCTACGGACAATCACAACAGCCATAGCCAAGAGAAAAATTTCTGCTGGGACGGGAGTCGAACCCGCACAGCGCACGGCGGCTGATCAGGAGACCGAAGGGTCTACTACTGCAGCCACCGCTGCTGCCTAAAACAAACACACAACATCCATGGCGAAGGCGAGATTCGAACTCGCGGCCCGGCCGACCGGCTGATCAGTAGCACGACACTCTGACCCACGCGGCCAACCGAGGTCCCCTGATAATCTTCCTAAATATTCTTCAAATATCCATTAGCAAAATCCCAAAGCATTTCGGGACGTATTATTATTCTAAACCTTTGTTTTTTAATCGTTAATCAGGCACGCGGTTAATGATTCTCCACGGCGGCGGCGGTCGCCCCTACATGTTGTTCCTCTCTTGTACTCACGCAGGGCATACACTGAGCCTTGGTTAACGATTAAAAAACAAAGGTTTACCATAACGATACCTCCCCAGATGCCTTGAGATTTTGTTATTAGGTGTTCGAAGAATATTTAGGAATATTGGCAACAATAAATTTTTAGCTTTCCAGGTTCGAAAATGGCATATTTGGCACTTATTTAAGTATTGTATGGCTCGCTATAAACTTCAGAGAAAAGTTCTAATACACCTTTTTTGTTTAGGATGTCATAAAAAATACCTGTAAAAACGTTTTGACGTAATTTCTGCCTGGCAACTTGCAGATCCGTTAAAAGGGAGCCTTTTTAAATGAGATTATGCACGAAATCCGAATAAGAATATTTTTCCCATCAGATGCGAATATATTGCCCGGAATATCACTATTATGCTAAAATAAATAAATAAATAATTTTATCACCTCATATTACAACCTGCTTACTTGACCCGGTCAAAAATTAAGTGCATTGTATGTTGGTGGCCATTTTTGTGTTTAAGCAGTAAGAGTAGCGCTCTTGCAACTTGTTATGACTTCATTCCAGCTGTGAGACACATAACACCCGTCACTGGTTGTTGGCTTGGAGCAATGCAGTCAACATCGTGACCCCCCTAACGCTCGTCTTCTCTCGACACTTTTCGGAGCGTTTCAGGTATTTCGAACGTCTGGAGTAAGGAGGAAGTTTGTCTTCGAAAATTACGGTTGGACCGAAATAAACTGCATTGCATCTTGCAGTATAAACATGCCACTGCGGTTATTCCCGTCTGAAAACTTGAGCGTTTCACGTCCTATCCAACAGCGTCTGATTTAGATTTGACCAATAATTGACATGACTACCAAGTGTCCTAAACCGTTGGAAGGAATCGTCTTACCGCGTTCTAGCTGGTCATGGGTTAGAGTTTGGAAACAACATTTATGGAGCATGAGGTGTCACCAAAAGCTCTATTGTCCCTTATTGACTCTCTATACAGTACGTTTCAAAAACGGCGGAATGGATGGGAGCAATAGTCTGTTGTTGTTAGTAATTAAGTGTAGCTCGTATAGTTCTCTTCCTCACAGGCATTCCATGTCTTTGAAAAAAGAGCTGGTATGATCATATTTTTGCAAATTATTGATCAACCTACAACATGGATTTTCTGTGTGAAAGATATTGAGTCGAGAAATGGAAGATAAACACAATAACTAATTTTCGACATTACCAAAGATTTATACATTTTTTTTAGTTTTATAGTCAAGAAATTGCTTGTTAAGATATAATTAACGTAAAATGGAAAAATAATTCTTACTGATACTATTTACATGTGATATAAAATTCAGACATTTATCTAAAGTTACGCCCAAGTTTTTGGCTGACTAAGTTACTTCTATAGTCTTACCATTTCAGTTTACTTTAAAATTTCTTGTAGGCTTCATTAATATAACAGAGAGGTCAGGGTATTTTATTAGCCACAGAATAGGCGCTCTTACCTCAGTCTACCATAGCAAAAAAGTGCCCAGTCTTGAAGACATAAAAATATCCTATATCTACATGAATAATTTTATTATGCAAAAAATGTTTGACATCTTTTAAGTTTTGCGTATAGAAACACAGTAGGCCGCGCGGATCGAACGTCAGTACTGAATCTTAACCTCACTCTTTAGTAAACTTAAATTCAAAGTTTCACAGCAATACGTGCAGTGTTCTCACTACAGTGAATTTTTACGTCTCACCAAGTCATCAGAAAAATGGAACTCAACCGAGAACATTTTCACGCCATAATTTCTTACAACTTTCAGAGACAATTATCGCAACAAGAATGCCTTGCTGAGTTACTGTCTGTTTTCGGCAACGAAGCGCCACATCAGTCGACAATTTCCCGTTGGTATGGAGAATTCAAACGTGGACGGGTGAGTCTTAGCGACGATCCCAGGGTGGGTGCACCAAAAACGGCAGTCACCCAGGGAAACGTCGATGCTGTGCGCAAACTCAGCATTGAAGATAGACATGTGACATATCGCGAGATTGAGGCGTCCTTGAAGATCTCAAAGACATCCGTTCAAAAAATTTTACAGGAAGAATTAGGAGTAAGAAAATTAGTTTCTCGTTGGATACCCCACCTGTTGACTGAAGAGCAGAAAGCAGCCAGGGTTAATTGGTGTCAAAAAACGCTTGACCGTTTCAATTCCGGAAACTCAAAAAATGTGTACAGCATTTTAAGTGGTGATGAATCGAGGATTTACTATTATGAACTAGAAAATAAACGACGTCGGCTGTTTGGGTGTTCCAAGGTGAAGAAAAGCCGACAAAAGTCATCCGTTCTCGAAGTGTTTCGAAAAAGACGCGAAATTTCGTCAAAAGCGGGTCATATTGCAACAATTCCTCTTAATGAGCAAAGAACTGTTACTGCGGATTTGTTTGCCAAAAATCATCACCGAGCTTCGAAAAATCAACCCCGAAAGAAGAATCATCCTCCTCCAAGACAATGCAAGCTCGCACACAGCCCAAAAAACAAGGTGGCATTTAACGGAAGAAAACGTGGAATTATTGGACCATCCTTCATATAGTCCCGATCTAAGTCCTAACGATTTCTTTACTTTCCCGAAAATTAAAAATAGACTACGTGGTCAAAGGTTCCAGTCACCAGAAAAAGCAGTTCACGCATTCAAAAATGCCGCCTGGGATCTGCCAGCAAACGAGTGGAATAAGTGCTTGGAAAATTGGTTCGAGCGCATGCAGATGTGTATTAATCTTCGTGAAGAATACTTCGAAAAACAATAAAGACAATTAAAACTACCTACCGTGTTGTTTTATTTCCATATGCAAAACTTAAAAGTGGAAAGTGGTGTAATTCATTCAAATCATATATAGTAAATCGCATCCTGCAAATTATCATTAGATATCATTATCATTGCAAATTCCCCTATTTGCCTCATCAAGCTTTTTATTAAAGCACGTTTTCCCATGGTGACTTCTCGCAGCTGAATGCGCAGCTAGTTTTTCAGATATCAATATTAAAACGGTACATTTTGCAGTTCCAACATAAACGATCATGTTTCTATCATAGCATATACTTGAATATTAGGCCTACATCAACAGAACTGTGAGAAATTGTCTACATATTAATCGTTATATAACGAGTTTAATTGATTAAAGAACATGGTAAAAACAACAACTTTCTGAGTTTCCCAAACATTTACCCCTATTGCGAGCCCTGTCGCATATGAGTTGCACCAACGAAATATATTTATAGAATGTTGTATTTGTGAACTAATTTTTATTCATTCAAAATAACTTGAACAAAAACAACCAAGATAATTTGATGCTATGTGGAATTAACAACTAATCGACAATATTTGATATATATTTATATTACAATAATAAACAAAAACAAAAAAAATGTTTATGATGTCCGTCGCATATTAGTTGAACCATCTCATGGAATACGATAAAAAAATGTTTACGCGGCGAAATCGGATCTTTTTTAAAGCGGGCATTGGAAAAACAATTGAATAGTATAATGTTCAGCTGTAAAAATGGCTCGCGGAAAAGCGTTGTCCGACGATATGCGAAATTCCATTGTTGCTGCACACAAAAATGGGCATAAAATTGCAAAAAATCTGAGCATCCCTCAAGGAACAGTAAGAAACATTATCTCACTGTTTAAACAAAATGGAAATATCGAGACAAAAATTCGAATTGGCCGTCGTTCGAAGATTACAGAAAGAGATAAGCGTGCTTTTCGTGGAATTACTAAAGAAGATCGCAGAGCTGCGTCGAGGGAAGTAGCTGAAAAATGGTCACATGCGATTGATAGAAGAGTTTCAAAGGATACTTGTTTAAGAACGATGAAAAAAATGGGATATTCCTTCTACAAAGTAAGTTGTGTCTCTTGTGAGTATTCAATTTTCATTTTAGGTGAAGAAAAAGCCACTTCTTTCTTTAAAACAAAAACGAAACCGTCTCCTATGGGGAAGATAGCATAAAAAATGGGTGCAACATCAATGGGATTCACTTATCTGGAGTGACGAATATAGTTGTTTTTGTTCAAGTTATTTTGAATAAATAAAAATTAGCTCACAAATACAACATTCTATAAATATTTTTCGTTGGTCCAACTCATATGCGACTGGGCTCGTAGACCAGGATATCTACAATTACATTATTGAGCGTAAATGAAGAAGTCTTTGATGGGCAACTTTTTTTATTAAGCACATCGTTTTTAGATTTATTTCTTACCGAAAAGTGCATAAGAAATATCTGAAATAATAACCAAAATTTGGCACCTTTGTAGTGACTAATATTCACCGAAAAAATTAATTCAAACATGCTCAACGGTTTTTGCAAATTCCTAATTGTTACTCATTTTTTCGATAAAAATACTCTTCTTTGACGAGCTGTTCAGCTACGTTGACTTATTCAAATGCTCGATCAAATGGGCTCTAGAGATAAAAGATATACCGAATTTCTTTAATAAACCCTACAAAATATCATGCCGTTTAGAATAATTTCATTGTTTTTTGACATGCCTAATTAGGATCACTGAAAAGCTGATTAAAACACACACATACAAAACAGTTAAGTCATCATATCATCGCAGAATGGTATAGTGATACGGACTCCTAATATCCAAATACTGTTAAAATATATGAATATTTCTCCTGTAGCGGTGTGTCAGTAACGACACGACCGCAGACCAATTGGAGTGTGTTACCCACTCCCACTGTACAGTAGACAGTGGCCTCCACGACGTTGCAGCATCGCGCCGGGCACGCAACGCCAATGATTCAAGTTATAGGCGCTTACAAAATTAGCGGACAGACAGATCGTCAGACAGATAGACGAAGGAAATGAGTGACATTGTTTTTCGTGATGTATCCAAAAAACATAATAGGTACCTCAATTTCGACATTTTTCGGGATTACAATACTTCCTCACCAGTTTTGGCATAGGAAGTAAAAATTATGTCAATTTACTCGTTCCCTAAAACGTTTAAAGTGTTTTTTTATTTCTTAGCATTCGATTTCTCCACGATGTTGTCTTTTTCAACGAAAAATGGAGTATTCGATGCTGAATTTGAATTAAATTTTGTAAATCTCGTCTTAAAAGCGCCGGGTGATTTTAATCGTAAGAAAAATTTGAAACCTAGCGGTTATGAAAACCTTTTCGAACGCCACCCTGTAACACGACCTACTAAGTAATGTTTTCATTCCAATTTCAAGCTGTCAACTATGAATAATCGTCTACAACACCAAAATCTGTGAAATATCGGGTTACTCTGATGGTTCCAAGAAATGGGGCCTGGACATTGGGCCATCGGGTATCATTTTTCCCACACTAATTTCTTATACGTTCGAAGACATCCGACAAATGGTTGGTAGGTTACAAATCTGGGGTAATTCTTCTTTAAGGAATTTTGCGTGTTCCGATATGTCTTCAAGAAGATTCAAAACGACAAATAAAATGGTATAACCGTCAGAATAAGGTTCCTATGTCTATAAAATGCGATGTATGCTACTCAGGTCCAGTTTTTCAATCACAGGTTAACTGTAACTTTTCTGCTAAACGGAAGTTAACTCTTAAGCGTCAATTAATTTTAACTAGAGGATTATCTATGGGCTTAATAGAGAGTTGTAGTTAAACCGCAGGGTCTTCTAGCGTCTAACGAAAAACCAGGCCTAAGTCAGTCTGTTGAGCTAACATACATTCTCAGGAAAATGTAACATCAGGTTATAACGCTGTTTACGCGTAGAACAATCCTAAGATCAGCTACATCATCGGGAGCCAGGAAATCTCCTCTCTCTCCAATCACATAGATTTATTAATTGTTGTATCCTGTATCGAACACTGACTGAATACCCAGTGACTAAATTTCATAAAAAAAGACGAGCTGTGATATATGACAATATGACATGTATGACAGTGTGAGGACTGTGAGGATGGGACAGAAGGCACAGACGCCGAGCGCACAAAACGCACAGAACACGATATCTAAGAACCACAGATGCAGGGTTGCAACATAAATTTATGATGAACTTCTGTTAAGTTAACTGGCACTGTCAAAATACTTGGAGAAAACATTCACAGGCAACTACAAGTTAACTTTCTGGTTAAAGTTAACTAACCAGAAAGTTGACGTGCGATTGAAAAATCGGGCCTTAGGAGTCGTTCACTTCTCGTGTATTGATGAAATCATGTGATTTTTGAGTAATAATTTCAGAAGAAACAAATGGATGACATTCTTTGTACTTGATACTGATTCAAAGATTATGTTAATTTCTTCCTTCTGTGGTACTATTTTCAGTTCTGGTGTCCAAAGCAATTATTGCGGTTACGATCAAGTTACCAGTACTGCCATTACCTTAAATATCCATGAAGAATCGCAAATTTTTAAGAATATACACCACGCTGGCCGGAATCGTAACCGAGACAGAAAAAAGTTGAATTCACGGCCTAGTTAGCACTACGAGGCGCGTCGCCGTCGGTTGTTCCGATTTCCTTGGATGGACTCGGCTGGTTGCTTCCACTTCCACGTTACTTCCAACAAACCTCGAAAGACAGCCGAATCGGAAGGAAGCGGTCGGTGGACGGTTTCTAATTTCCTGTGGCTCGTGTTGACTGTAGTGGTGGCAGATATTTCACAAACTGTGATTTAGTAACTGATTATTTCTAAATCTAAAAACCGTAAAAAAGCGTGACATGTTGACGTCTTGGAGTACAAGGCGCTTCACGGCAGCATAACCTCTTCTTATAGATTACTTACTATAAGCTCGTGATTATTCGATTATTAGCACGTGTAAGATCAGTTATGTTTCTTAGTCAAGTTTCACTAAAAATATTATTTTCTGTATGTCACTACACACGATACGATAATAAGACACATACGACCTTTAACAAATATCGAATGATGTAAGAAATAATTATGGCTTTACATTGCTGAGACGAAGAGTCCTACACCAGTCACCGCTGTGATCCATCCCCTGAGACGGATCAGCGGAAACTCACCCGATATATAGAAAGTCGTCTTCACGCTCTTAAAGATAAGGATTTTCATAATCTCTAGTTGGCTGTAGTGGTAGCAGAAACTTCACGAAGTGTGATTTAAGGCCGTATCGTCAGTCGTTCAATGGACAAGTTCACGATGTTTTTGTTATTAGCTCTGATGAAAGTTTAGGAAAAATGAAATAAGATGATGAAAAAATTATTAATGTATCTCTAAAAACAAAAAAGTTACAGCCTATCAAAGTTGAGCCCCGCGAGAATATTTTTATTCCGTTTGTACGCTACGCGTGACGTCACACTTCAGTATCCAGTTGCAACGCCCGTGGCCGATTTCTGGGCCCGAGCCGACTCAATTTCCTAAACACATGCATAGGCACACATACAGCGGGACACATGGTAGGTCTTCCGCCCCAATTTGTTTAATTAGTTGACTACATATACGATCGGTTATGAGCGAAATAAGAAAAAAAGGTTGTCATAAATACTGTAGCGTTCCAAAATATACGAGCACAACAATAGCAACCCCTAATAAACATTTTTCTACGTACCTTCACGTGAAAATATAAGGAAGAAATGGTGCAAACTTATGAAGCGTGATTTGATTGGACTAAAAAGTGCAACATATGTCTGTGAGGATCATTTTGATGCGAGTCTATCACTTTACTATTTATTTAAGATTATTAGTTATATGATTTCCAAGCTCACTCCACTGTACTTGCGATGCGGCATTTGGAGGGGAAATATTTATCAACT